GGCAAAGTGATGTCTCTACTTTTTAAGATGCTGTCTAGGTTTGTCATTGCCCTTCTCCCAAGAAGCATTGCTGTGTTATTTCAGTCTAAATACAGTAAAATGGTAGATATGGACCAGAACGACATGGAGCTCACACACACACACAGCCATGAAACTGGCTAGGTGACCAAAAAGGATGTTACTTTTTCCCTGTATGCCACAACAGCTGTGAGAATATTGCTAGCGAAGATTTGGAATAAACACGAGTTACCAACTATTGAAGAATGGCAGATGAAGGTGATGGACTATATGGAACTTGCCGAACTGACCGGGAGACTCCGAGACCAGAGAGAGGAGACGGTGGAAGAAGCTGGAAGAAGTTTAAGGAATATCTGAAAAAATATGTTAATATTTAAATCTTTGAATAGCTTTGGAAGTGGATATGGGCTGTCGGGTTAGAAGTAGAAGATAGTGTATTTTAAAATAGTATTATTTGTAAGTGATAAAATGTGAAGTTATTTTAAGTGTGATAAAAAGAAAAGATGGTTAGAAACTATGATATATGTTAACTGCTAAAGATGAAGTAAAATGAAAATCAGATAGGTGGGACCTGGGGAAACCCACTTAACAATGTTTAGAAAAATAAGGATATGACAAGAATTTGTTTGTTTGTGTTCTTTGTTGTTGTTTAGTCGTGTCCGACTCTTTTTGACCCCATGGACCAGAGCATGCCAGGCACTCCTGTCTTCCACTGCCTCTCACAGTTTGGTCAGACTCATGCTGGTAGCTTCAAGAACACTGTCTAACCATCTCGTCCTCTGTCATCCCCTTCTCCTTGTGCCCTCCATCTTTCCCAACATCAGGGTCTTTTCCAGGGAGTCTTCTCTTCTCGTGAGGTGGCCAAAGTCTTGGAGCCTCAGCTTCAGGATCTGTCCTTCCAGTGAGCACTCAGGGCTGATTTCCTTCAGAATGGATCGGTTGGATCTTCTTGCAGTCCATGGGACTCTCAAGAGTCTCCTCCAGCACCAGAATTCAAAAGCATCAATTCTTTGGCGATCAGCCTTCTTTATGGTCCAGCTCTCACTTCCATACATCACTACTGGGAAAACCATGTCTTTATTTATACGGACCTTTGTTGGCAAGGTGATGTCTCTTTGTGTTCTTTACTTGTGTTATAAAATGAATTAAAAAATTTGAAAGAAAGAAACTGGCTAGGCGAGATTGAGCCCAGCAAGGCTTTCCTCGTCTCAAGCCAGCCTACCTTGCAAGGCCGTTGTGAGGATAAATTGGGATCTTTCCCCTGAGCACCTGGGCTATAATTAGACATAATCAACTAATAATCTCTCGTTCCTCTGAACAGTCTGAGCGTCCTGCAAGCCAGATGGGGAGATGAATCATCTTGCGTATTTTTAAGAAGATTGCAAGGCACATGCTAATAAGTCAGGATATTTCTGGGCCCACATCTTATCGTCAGCTTCCTCCATTCTGATTCCCGGGAGGAAAAGTTCTTGGCAAAGAGCCCATCCTCGCAGTAAACAGTGACTTTACTATTAACAGGTACTTCGTAGGATCACACGGAGAAAACTGCCTGCTGCTCCCTCACTTGGACAGCTTTTTGAGAGTGTCCGTGCTTGTGCCTGTTGTTGATGCTGTTGCTGTTTGTAAACCACCCTATACCTGCTGGTTTCAGTTCACAAGATTAATAATAATAATAATAATAATAATAATAATAATAATAATAATAATTTATTTATACCCTGCCCATGTGGCTGGGTTTCCCCAGTCACTCTGGGCAGCTTTCAACAGTATATTAAAATACAATAGTCTATTAAACATTAAAAGCTTCCCTAAACAGGGCTGCCTTCAGATGTCTTCTAAAAGTCTGGGAGTTTTTTTCTCTTTGATATCTGATGGGAGGATGTTCCACAGGGCGGGTGCCACTACCGAGAAGGCCCTCTGCCTGGTTCCCTGTAGCGTTGCTTCTTGCAATGAGGGAACCGCAAGAAGGCCCTCGGCACTGGACCTCAGTGTCTGGGCTGAACGATGGGGGTGGAGACGCTCCTTCAGGTATACTAGACCAAGGCCGTTTAGGGCTTTAAAGGTCAGCACCAACACTTTGAATTGTGCTTGGAAATGTACTGGGAGCCAGTGTAGGTCTTTCAGGACCAGTGTTATGTGGTCTCGGCGGCCGCTCCCAGTCATCAGTCTAGCTGCCGCATTCTGGATTAGTTGTAGTTTCCGGGTCACCTTCAAAGGTAGCCCCACGTAGAGTGCATTGCAGTAATAGAAGATAGAGAGATAACTAGAGCATGCACCACTCTGGCGAGACAGTCCGCAGGGCAGGGAGGGTCTCATCCTGCGTACCAGATGGAGATGCTAAACAGCTGCCCTGGACACAGAATTGACCTGCACTTCCATGGACAGCTGTGAGTCCAGAATGACTCCCAGGCTGCGCACCTGGTCCTTCAGGGGCACAGTTACCCCATTCAGGACCAGGGAGTCCTCCACACCCACCCGCCCCCTGTCCCCCCAAAACAGTACTTCTGTCTTGTCAGGATTCAACCTCAATTCGTTAGCTGCCATCCATCCTCCAACCACCTCCAGACACTCACACAGGACCTTCACCGCCTCCACTGGTTCTGATTTGAAAGAGAGGTAGAGCTGGGTATCATCCCCATACTGATGGACACCCAGCCCAAACCCCATCATAAAAGACAGAATAAAAACAACAACCATCTTCTTCACTCCAGGGGGTTGAGCTAGATGCCCCCCATGGTCCCTTCCAATTCTACAGTTCTATGACTCCAATAATCCCCCTCCCTTCCCCTTTGATTCACACAGGCCTGCACTTCTCATAACCTGCCAGGTCAAACGCAGCCCTCTAGCTACGTATTACGATCGCCAGGACATCAGAAGCTGCCTTTCTGCTGAACCAGACATTGTTCTATCTAGCTATTGTCTGCACTGGCTGGCAGCAGCTCTCCAGGGTTCCACACCTGCAGAGGCACCGACTTGCACAGAAAAAAGAAGAAGTTAAAGGATCCCTGGCCAGTTAAGTCTAGTCAAAGGTGACTATGGGGTTGTAGCGCTCATCTTGCTTTCAGGCCGAGGGAGCCGGCGTTTGTCCACAGACAGCTTTCTGGGTCATGTGGCCAGCAGGACTAAACCACTTCTGGTGCAACGGAACACCATGACAGAAACCAGAGCGCATGGAAACGCTGTTTACCTTCCCGCTACAGTGGTACCTATTTATCTACTTGCACTGGTGTGATTTCAAACTGCTAGGTTGGCAGGAGCTGGGGCAGAGCAACGGGAGCTCATCCCATTGCAGAGATTCGAACCACCGACCTTCTGATCTGTAAGCCCAAGAGGCTTAGTGGTTTAGACTGGGGTGGGCAGGCGCGGTGACACGTCAGGAGGAGCCAGGGAGCAGAGCTGAACATGGTGGCAGCGCAGCTTCAGTGGCTGGTGGCTCCTACTTTCAATGGCTCTCAGCTCTCAGCTTCCTTCTCCTCATTCTGAACATTGGGGGGGGGTATTGGGGGCTCCCAAAGTGCTGGCCCCTGGAAGCTGGGGCCAATGCACACCTGAGTTTCTCCCAGTCCTATCCGGAGGTGCTGGGAATTGAGCCAGGCACCTTTAGCGTGCAAGACAGGTGCTCTAACCACTGGGCAAAGGTGCTTTCCTCGAGAAATAGGAAACTGTCTTATATGCAGTCAGACCATTGGTCTGGCTCTGGCTCAGTCTCGTCAACACTAACAATTCATGCCCAAGCAGTTAGCAAAACCGAGGTGGAGGGGATGGAATAGGACGCCCCTATTTTCATTGGAGAAATGTCGGAGAGGATGGAATAGGATGTCCCCAGCGAGTGCAGAGAGCTCAGTACGTAGCAACTTCCTGTGATCCTAAAGCAGCTTACGGAAACCCATGATAGAAACGAAAAGAAAGATCACCACAGAGCAGCAATAAAAGCTGCCAATCTGAAACAGCAGCCAATTTTAAAATGGGCTGCATCAGGCACATTGAAAGCATGTTGATGGGCAACGCATTTGCTTCTAAGCAGTGCTGTGTGCGTTGCAGGACGGTGCTATTTAAGAAGAATATATGTTATACATTACACATAAAGTCTTCTTCAAACACAAAGACCGTTCGATCGATGAAGGAGACGTGTTTTCTAAATGCTCCTCTGGGAAGTGTCAAACTGCTGCTTGTGGAAAGGACCGTTTGCTGAGTTATTTGTTCCAAAGACCATTTTCAAGCACACAGAAAAAAGGAAAGAAAACCAGAGGTGTCTGAGAAGGGGATGGGGAGATGGGGTATTAACATTTTTTTATTTTTTATTTTGCTTCCCACCTGCTGGTGATCAATTTGTGGTGGGCAAAGGGGAAATCTCTTTTAGCTGCATCTCATAAGCTACCTGTGGATCTCAGTAGCGGAAAGGGACCAGTTCGCTACCAAAGACATTTTCCACTTTAATTTTACTTCACATGCTCTGTGGATGACTTTCAACACTGAACACCACAGGCCCTCGAACACAGGCCTGGCTTAGATTCAGTTCTGCAGTAGTGGTAGCCAGGAGAGAAATTTGACAATACAGCTCAGGTTTTACAAGATCCTCTTTTTTCCTGACACTTTGGAAAAGTTTACACTTTGAACAATATTATTAGGGAAAGAATATATACATGCATTTAAAAATCATAATTTTAAAAGGGGGGAAGGGTGTAAAACCCATATATTCAGACATAAGCAGGGGGGCGGAGATGACATCTAAAATAGCATTGTAAGGGGGGGACCTTTAAATTTTAAATAATATTTGACGATGCAGAAATGCTTTATATATCCATAGCAGGTTTCTCATGACTGAAAACTTTTCATTTTGCAACGCCGAGGTTTTGTTATGGTGACAACTGTGATCCAATTAACCAGCTCCCAAATCTTAACGAATGAAGTCATCCTTTTTGAGGTTGCTTGTTCAGATGATCTGTGTAGCCTTCAATATATAAAGAAAGGGTTCTCATATAAAGAAGGTATATTTTTAGTCTGGCTGAAAGGAAACGATAGCAGGTCATGCTTTACTTGCAGATGAAAGACTTTAACCGCCGGCTACCACCATTCGCTCCAGCGAGGTTCCTGCAAGGCGTCACCACTGGGCTTTTCTCGATGCTCCCTCGAAAAAACCAGCAAAAGAAGTGTGACAGAATCGATTGCACCTTCGTGGCAATTCTTGCAGCCCTGACAAGGCTCGTTTCCTTCCTCGCGCAGCTCGCCTCCGGCATTCCAGGTTGCTGATGCCCTGGCAAGCAAGGATGGAATGGGAGAGACCCAGATTCTCTTTCTGCTCAGGGAAACGAGAAGAGATTCCCCAGGCTGTTCTCCCTGAGTTTTTGCAGCCGCCGCCAAGATCCGCCTGGTGTTTCCTTGCCACTCTCTGTGTGTCTGCAGCAGAATGATGCTTAGGAGGGGAGGGGGAGAGGGGGGAGAGAGAGAGTTGAGGGAGCTTGCCTCTTTGCATCTTCTCCTCCTGCTGTGGCAGTTCTTAGCTTGCCCGGGAAATAGAGGCAGCCTCCAGAGGATGCAACCTGGAGACCTGCAGCCATCCTTTTCACTCTTGGATCTTTCTCAGGGACGCTTGGACCACTGAAAGTCAGGGTTGAAGAGTCTCCAGCAATTTCAAAAAGGTAAAGGGACTCCGTGCTCCTGGACAGAAGATGTCCATCTCAAGAGACCAGGCAAAAGCCATCTCCCACCTGACATTTCTCCCTCCTCGCTGCCTTAGAGGTGAGATTTCTTTTTTCCATTCTTTCGCAGGAAGGGTATCTGAAGTTATCAGAGGGGCAGCCTCTCATGCGCTATGTGCAGAAAGCCAGTCTCAGCCTGGGATTTTGCAGGGCACCGTGGGGGAAGGGGAGAAGTTGTACTTCTTCTGAAGTAGATGTTTGGCATTTGTTTAAAGTGTTTTTAAGGGGAGTGAGGAGGAGAGAGACTTTTGAGAAGATGCATCTCTCTCCGAAAGAGCGCAGCCGATTCATTGTTAACAGCCAAGGGAGACGAGACAGAGAGATGCGAGTACTAATGGGCACTCAGGAAGACGTCTAACCTGGGGTGATGTTGCAGTTCAGCACGACTATGTGGGGTGCAGAGGTTGTTTCACTGCCTAACGCTTTGCCTGCGTGGCGCGCATGAAATCTAAAATGGTCCAAGCATCCGTGGTGTTTAAAGAGATGGGATTTGGGAGAGTGATGTCTATCACTCTGCGAACAAAGGAGTGCCAACTCTCTTAAGAGAAGCGGGGCACCTAAAGGTCCTAAAGTCTGACCCCCACAAGCTCCCACTCTCCTAGACATCCCATTTGCAAATCAAACCTTTGCTAGATCTCACGTTGGCTGAAGACATCCAGTCTAGACTTGTTTGCTGCCAAGTTCAAATGCCCTCTCTGCGGTTGGCAGCCCATCCCTGTTGCCTTCAGACGGTGTCCCTAAATATCATTTTATTCAGCTGCTGGCTGTGGTAGGCCAGTTTCCCCCACCTAGTGCTGGCCACTTGTTTTGTACTACAATTCCCATCAGCTGGGACTGATGGGTGTAGTCTAAACATAGGGGGTGCAGAAAGTCAAGGTAGGCTCTTCTAGGCTATATATGGCCATTGAGTTCCTTAATGCAAACCTTGTTAAATAGAGGGCATATTGTTTAATACTTGCACAGTACCATTTGTGTAAAATGAGGTCCCTGGTCTCAAGGACCTTCCAGTGTAAATACCAGGATGTGGGTGAAAGGCAGAAAAAAGTTGAGGAATGGATACCATAAGAGCTATGAACATAATTATGTTTGCGTGCTGGATTAGAAGTCTTATTGCCACTGCTCAGTTTTCGGAACTTCTTGATGATTAGAATTCATTGTCTGTCATGATAATCTCTTTCTCTCTCTCTCTAAATTTTAACTCACCAATTTGATTTATCTGCACTTCTGATTATCTGAACAATTTGGATATCTCAGGCTACTTTGCTAAAGGAGAATTCTCTCCTTCTCTCTCTCTCTCTCTCTCTGTGTGTGTGTGTGTGTGTGTACCTTTGCAATATGCACCAATGAATTCACACTTGAATATATAAAATCAATCCAATATTAGACTTTGCAACTCCTTCCCACATCCCTTCCCAGTGACTTGGTTGCAACATTTAATCTAGTTCCCTAATTAGAGAAGAAAGAATGCGGGGGATGGGGAGGTCCCTTAATGAAATCCACAAGTGACATCCCTTCTCACTCCAGCAAATCACGTTCTCCCTCCACCTTTTGAAGTCTTCTAAAATCAGTCATGAATGGGAGCAGGCCATTTCTCCCACCTTCCGCTCCAGCCACCGGTGACCCAAATGCTGGTTTGGAAGAGGTACCTGCAAAGGAAACAGGGAAAAAACGGATCTGAGATTAAGGCAACACCTTGCTTGGAGAAACTGCTGGGTGACCCTAAGCTTGTGACTTCCAACTCAGAGGTTTGCCCAAGCGAGCCCCTTTGAAATGGAAGAAGGGCATGTGGAGGCTAGTCCATTAATGCAAATGGGTCACTACCCCATGAACATCAGCCTTGATTCTTCCAAACCTGCCTGCCTTCTTTTGACCAGCCCAGAGGATGATCTTACCTGTTTCCTTCTCCTCCCTAGTCTCGTTTTTGCAGGGAGAACCACGGGGGGAAATGTAGAATTAATTGGCTCTACCTGTCACTGGCTCCATCTCTGTCTATCATTGGTCCTGTTGGCTTCTCTGCCCCGGCATCGTTTTTACGGTGTAAAAACACAGTAGAGAATGTCCATTTGGATTGTGCCCATTATCTGATGCTACAAAACCGGGGTAGCCAGAACGCTACCTTCCAGATGTTGTTGGACTACACGTGAAGGAATGTGGGGTATTACGTTCTGAGGCAGCACACGTCTGAGTGAAATTGTGTATATCTGGAGCACCATTGGAAAAGCCCGCAAGCACCCTCTAAACATCTGGAAACCCTTGAAAACCCCTTTTTAAAAAAATAATCAGCACTTACCATGTCCACCAAACTCCATCACATTCGCTCCCCGCAAGCCTCCTTGCTCAAAGGTGGCTAGGTTCATAGCAGGGGCAATCAGAATAAGGGCCACTAACTGACGGCTGATTCAGGACTTTAAATTGTGCTCTTATATCAAATTCCCTTTTCTGCGTATTCTGTAATGTTTTACTGTTGCTATGGCCATTGGCTAATGCGAATAAAGTTATATCTTATCTCCTTGCTCAAACTCCAACTCTCCACAGACCTCAAAGGCAGTGGCGTAGGAAGGGGGCGTGCGGTGGGTGCGGGCCGCCCCGGGTGTCATCACTGGGGGGGGGTGACAAACTGACAAAAATATGTGTTTTTGAAAAATAATAATTCCTGCACCTGCCGCACCCCCCTCTTTCTATGCCACGGCAGGAGCACTCTCCCCTCAAGTGATTTCCAAAAACCAGAAGCATTTCTGCCTCCAGATTTGCAGGCAGAGCATGGCCTTTATGACTAGTAGCCTTCCACAGCCCTCTCCTCCATAAATCTGCCTAATCCAGATGCATAGCTAGGTGAGGTGGGGGGCACTGGGTGCCACACCGCGGGGCTGCAGAAGGCCTGAGCCACATGTCTCTCCTGAGGGGGAGGCGGTTGGCGGACTGCCTGCAAGTTCTGCGCTGCTTTTTCGAGCAGCGAGGGGCTTGCGTCCTACAGCTGAGGGGGAGGCTTAGCCCGCCCTGCCCCCACAGGCAGCTTCCCCCCCCCATGGGTGGCTTGCTCCGCCCCCAGCTGCAGGGTCTGCGCGCCGCCCCGGGCACCCGAGCGACTAGCTATGCCACTGCTCAAATTCTGGGGCAAGAGCTCATAGGATTGCTGTTTTTGCTGTTTCCACAATCTTTCGAGGCTGTTTTGTTTTTCCTTTTTCAATTTTTTTTATTGATTTTCCAGAATTTTAAACAAACAAACAAGCATTTATCTTAACTATACTTAATCCAATCTTAGTAACATTGTTAAATGGCTTCCTCGAATCCCCCTGGCTGAGTTTCATTGTGTATCTTTGTAACAGTTTTCCAAAACCAATTTTCTCATAAAATTAACTTAGTCACTTAACATCTTTCTTCCTTCTCATTTTAACTTTAAACATATTATTCTCTAACATCACATATTTAAATCCTAAGCCTATCTGGTATTTGCAAGTTTTTCCAATTAAGTTATCTTAGCATATTTAACTAAATAGTCTTTGAATTTCATCCAGTCGTCCTGGTACTCCTCCTCCTTCTGGTCGCGGACTCTTCCAGTCAGGTCGGCTAGCTCCGAAAAGTCCATCATCTTCATCTGCCATTCCTTTCGGGGCTGTTTTTGCACCTTTTCATGCCACGTCCAGGTTGACAGTGATGCACGCATGCGCAGTTGTGTGTGCCTTGAATGAGCGAGGATGGGGAGTTGCCTATTCAACTTCCATCAGCCCCAAGCAGCATGGAATCATGGGAGAGGTAGTCCAGCAACACCTGAAGGGTGCCATATTGACTAACGCTACAAAAATATGTTGTTTTCAGGGGAAGGGTCCGGCCTCAGAATTTGTGCCCTGCCAGTGTTCATATTTCCGAAGCAAACAATATTAATAAAGAGAGTGATCCTTTAGTGAGGAGATTTGTTGGGGTGGATTCAGCAGACCCTTTCCCAACCTTCCAGATATTTTGTACTACAATTCCCATCGCAATGGCCATGGCGACTGGGGCTGGCAGGAGTTATAGTTCCACAACAACTAGAGGGCACTCGGCTGGGGAAGACTGTAGCAGTGAATCAGGAAAACGGTAGGCCCAAATGATTGCTGACCACCCGGTTGCACATCAGAATTTGCACTCAGCTCTCCGCAGTGTAGAAGAGCCGATTCATATTGTAATGACTACATAGAATAAATCTTCCTGATAATATTAGTGCAGCTATAATATCTAAATGAATCATCAGCACGATTTAGCAATTTAAGGCACTTCTGATCTACTAAAAAGATGCAGATTTTTTTTAAAAAAAACATATTATTTTTAATAAAAAGGACTTACAAGAATTGCAGGTAGCAAGTACTGTCTTAAAAGCGACATGTCTCTTCTCTTTGAGGAAGGAGGAAATGCCACTTCTTGGAAGATTATACCTGCTATGAGATCATCATCTAGCAAAGAAAGCATGCCTCTCTTTTTTGCTTTAGGACAATTCTTTTCAAACATTTGCAGATTTATGCCAGTTTTATTAATGGACCAGTGGGTAATTCAGCGTAACAGCCTTATATTTTACCGTGCCCCTTTCATTATGATTGAACTGCACTTGGGGAAACATAGAATATATATTTAAAAAGGAGACGGCGAAGAATAAGCATTGAAAAGGAGACTGATAACTGTGCTTACACGAGCTGTCTTAACTATTTATTCTCTTAGTCGCTGTGCATCCTGAAATTGGGTAATCTTTGCCTGCAGAAGTTAGTCTGCAGTATATAAAGCATGCAACTCACAGATCCGCATAAATGCTTTTGCCAACCAGTGGCGTAGCGTGGGGGGTGCAGGGGGTGCCGGCCGCACCGGGCGCAACATCTGGGGTTAGGGCAAATCCACGGGTTAGGGGGCGCAAATCCACAGGTTAGGGGGCGCAAATTACTTGCCTTGCCCCGGGTGCTGACAACCCACACTACGCCGCTGTTGCCAACTTCCCATCTCCTCCATCAGATCAAGGCAGGCTGCCATCTTTCAAACCTCCCTAGCTATGAGCTAGCGAGAGAACTAGATTGAGTTGGCTGAAATCAGCTGTTTGCTTAAGCTGCTGGGGTGTCATGGAATGCTCACAAACATTTCCCAACTGCTTCGAAGTGTCAAGGATTCTCCGCCCATAGAGTCCGGGAACAACTGGTGTTGGTGGAAAGGCCACAATTCCACCATTGGTGAACTCTTAAACTAGCCTCTGTCCAGCCTGGTGCCCTTCAATGCTACCTGCTCCCTGGTAGCTGTAGTCCAAATCAGCTAGAGGGCCCCAGGTTGGCAAAGACTGCCTCAGACCATGTGTCTATGAGAGTGGCAGGTGAGCAGTGTGTGTGAATGGGGTTTATGGCCGGCTCAAGATTTTATGTTGCCTAAAGCAAAGAAATGGGATGCAGGTGGCGCTGTAGGTTAAACCACTGAGCCTAGGACTTGCTGATCAGAAGGTTGGCGGTTCGAATCCCCGTGACGGGGTGAGCTCCCGTTGCTCGGTCCCAGCTCCTGCCCACCTAGCAGTTCGAAAGCACGTCCAAGTGCAAGTAGATAAATAGGTAGCGCTCCGGCGGGAAGGTAAACAGCGTTTCCATGTGCTGCCCTGGTTCGCCAGAAGCGGCTTAGTCATGCTGGCCACATGACCTGGAAGCTGTACGCAGGCTCCCTCGGCCAGTAAAGCGAGATGAGCACCACAACCCCAGAGTCAGTCACAACTGGACCGAATGGTCAGGGGTCCCTTTACCTTTACCTTAAAGCAAAGAAGAGTTTGGATTTGATATCCAGCTTTATCACTACCCGAAGGAGTAGGCCAGATGTCCTCCCCTTATTCCACATAGGGGAGCAGAGTGGAAGTTAACTCATATTTCAACACCAGCAATGAGACAGAGTTCCCACCCCACCCCTGAGGCAACTGCTGAGCTTAAGAGCAGCTCTGCTCAGCAGGAATGGCCAGGAATAACCCCTCTCCTAGGCACACCAGCATCTGTTGCCAGAGGCAGCCGAATCAATTGACCTAACGGTAGGGCCGGCGCTGATAATTTTGGTATCCAAGTGCTGCATTTTATTTCCAAGTGGGAGAGCATCTGAGAGCATCGGTAGGGAAGCAGACAAAGCACACATCTGCGAATTTGCATCAGTCTCCATTTGCTGCATCTAACGTGCCGGAGGTTTGCTTTATTTGTTTTTTTGCAGCTGAAGCAATTGGCCTTAAATAATAACAAGCTCGTGTCTCTTCTCCGCACAGCGGTCTGCTCGAAGCATGTTGGTCAGGATCGGCCCCAGCCCATTTTCGGAACAGCATCTTCTCGCCGTGGAGGATTCGGGTCAGGAGTATTCCACCCGGAAGTCACCCTCAGCTCCATTCATGCCTGAAGGACCCTCCGCGTCCCCTGAGCCAGACCTTCTGCTGCCCGCCAATGCCACCAACGCCACGGACTGCGGGGAGGATATACTGCTGTACGGGGACACTGAGAAGGTCATCATCGGGACGGTCCTCTCGGTCATCACTCTGCTGACTATTGCGGGCAACAGCTTGGTCGTCATCTCCGTATGCATCGTCAAAAAGCTCCGCCAGCCGTCCAACTACCTGGTGGTCTCCTTGGCTGCGGCTGACTTGTCTGTGGCCTTTGCCGTCATGCCCTTCGTCATCATCACCGACCTGGTGGGAGGGGAGTGGCTCTTTGGGGAGGTCTTCTGCAACGTCTTCATTGCCATGGACGTCATGTGCTGCACGGCATCCATCATGACCCTCTGCGTCATCAGCGTGGACCGGTAAGGATGGTCTCCTGTTTTACGAATCATAGGCTCACAGAATTGTGTGTTTTTGTGCGCGTATGCGTGTGGAAATGTTCAGTGGAAACAGCAGCAGGGGCAGAAAACAGAGAAGAGACTGTCCAGGTTCATAGAATCATTGGATTGTTGTGGGAATGTTCAGGGATGCAGGAGAGGACATATTGTTTTATTATAGCCTTTCCAACTTGTGTTAACAAGTTCACAATTTAGCAGAGTAACAGTCCCCCTTTTAAACTCATAGTGGATGTGTTTGCTCAGGCTCACTAAAGCCTCTATAACTGTTCTGGTATTTTCCCCCTTTTCCCTCATAAAAGATAAGACACGACACAGTCTTCTATAAAAGTATAAAGAGTTTACTCACATTCTGCTCACAGTTGGATCCCAGAAGGCAGACTTAGCTTAGAAAAGTAACATTTACCTGGAAACTATCTCATAAGAAGACAGTCCCTTTGTCCTCTCTTGGCTGAAGCCAAGAGAGCATCTTTGGCTAAGCAGATGTTGCTTCTTCGATGCATGTAATCAAAGAGAGAGAGATGGCTGCCCTGCCCTGTGCTTTTGTTGTTACCTGCACAGGTGAGGCCACGCCCACCTCTAGTCACATGCAGAGGAAGTCTGTCCCAGCCCAGAAGGAAGCAGGAAGTTTACCTGCTGGCTGGACAAACATTCCTCCCCATGTGTAAACATGTTCAGTCTAGGAATGTTGTACTTGACTGCTCTTGTGTTTCACATCCCACAAAAATGCGCACATGGCCCTTGCAGGTCATCTAGACCAGCTTTTCTCAACCCTGGGTCCCCAGATGTCATTGGACTACAACTCCCACCATCCCCTGACCACTGTTCCTGCTAGCTAGGGATGATTGGAGTTGAGAAAGGTCTAGATCTAGATCAAAACAGGAAACCCCCGGCTAGAGCATTTGCTACACAACTCGTTCTGTCGGCGCAAGGATTTGCCCTTGTGGGAAGGAACTTTCTCCCCTCTCCTTCCCCCCCCCCAAAAAAATAAAACCTTTCCGAAGCAAATTTGGAGAAGGCATGGAGTGTACTCAGGGGAAGAAGTAGGAGAGAGGTTCCATTTTATACCTACAAATCCTTGCGTGAACAGAACGAGCGTGTTGGATACCACCCATGGTCCCTGATAATTTCTTGCTGCTGAATGTGAAATGTATGCTATTGAAGGAGCACCACTAAATAAGCAACTACCTTATGGATGATGATGATCGTGGATGTGCAGCCTTTGCATTTAGATCCTTTTGCTCGATTGGGAACAGTACGAGGATGCGAGGAATTCAGATGGGCAGAGTCATTGCTTAGAGGCAGAGCACATGTCATGCATACAGAAAACCTTAACCAGGCCAGTTATTTAGAATCACTGTCATTGTCTGGTGTGCTCTGTACTCAACTGCAAATGAAACTCTCTCTAAGTTTCTCACTGAAGTACAGGGAAATTAAGAGGATGGTGTGCGTGGCCTAAAGGTGACATTTCCTGACGGAGGCCACCCGATAGTCTAACCAATTCAGTTGTCTGAGTGTCTTTATTTATGTATTGAGAACAGCCACAGGGAGATGCTGGCAGGCTTGGGGGAAATCGGAGACTTGCAGATGTAGGAGCAAGGAGAATCTGTAGAACATCACCCCTCCAAAAAGCAAAACAGCCCAATGAAGATGGCATGTACTCAGTGCCTGCAGAATGTTGAGAGGGGTGAAACTGAAAATAATAATAATAATAATAATAATAATAATAATAATAATAATAATAATAATAAATTATTTATACCCCACCCATCTGGCTGAGTTTGCCCCCAATCGAGTGTTAAAAACAATACAGCATTAAATATTAAAAACTTCCCTAAACAGGGCTCCCTTCAGATGTCATAGAATCATAGAGTTGGAATAGAGCACAAGGGCCATCGAGTCCAACCCCCTGCCAAGCAGGAAACACCATCAGAGCACTCCTGACATATGGTTGTCAAGCCTCTGCTTAAAGACCTCCAAAGAAGGAGACTCCACCACACTCCTTGGCAGCAAATTCCACTGTCGAACAGCTCTTACTGTCAGGAAGTTCTTCCTAATGTTTAGGTGGAATCTTCTTTCTTGTAGTTTGGATCCATTGCTCCGTGTCCGCTTCTCTGGAGCAGCAGAAAACAACCTTTCTCCCTCCTCTATATGACATCCTTTTATATATTTGAACATGGCTATCATATCACCCCTTAACCTCCTCTTCTCCAGGCTAAACATGCCCAGCTCCCTTAGCCGTTCCTCATAAGGCATCGTTTCCAGGCCTTTGACCATTTTGGTTGCCCTCCTCTGGACACGTTCCAGTTTGTCAGTGTCCTTCTTGAACTGTGGTGCCCAGAACTGGACACAGTACTCCAGGTGAGGTCTGACCAGAGCAGAATACAGTGGCACTATTACTTCCCTTGATCTAGATGCTATACTCCTATTGATGCAGCCCAGAATTGCATTGGCTTTGTTAGCTGCCGCGTTATACTGTTGGCTCATGCTTACACAAAGATTATGGCTGGGTGTTGCAGCATCCGCTGTTCATCATGATGTCTTGATGGAAAGATTGTGTCAAGCCATAGTGCCTTTTTCCATTGCTTTCCTTTCTAGGGGTGGGGGGAGTTGGGGAGGGGTTGAAAGCAGTTTATAGTGCAAGAGCACCCAAACCACTTTAATTTTACATCCTGAATTTTCTGGTAAGTGCTTGAATCCCAGCTACAAAACGGTCCTGGAAGTCTAGAAGCCAAGGGGGCCTCACTACTGTAAATCCAAACCAAATCTGCCAAGATAATGAATTTGTTTCTTTGCGGTATTTATATCCCACTTGTCCAAGGAGCAAAAGGGGGGGGTGCGCATGGACCTCTCCCTCCTCTCTTAATCCCCACAACAATCCTGTGAGGTAGGTTAGGCTGAGGTCACCCTGTGAGCTTCGTGCCTAAGTGGGGATTTGAACTCGTGTCTCTCCCCGGTCCTAGTCTGGCACTCTGCACCGCACCGTCCAGCTATCCCTTGATGCTTTTAAAATACCCTGTTCTTCTCCCCCCAGTCTGTGCACTTAATTCCTTGTCTGTGCGACTTTCTATCTTTGAAACAAAAACAAAGGAAAGAAATCTGAGCAGAATTAGGAAGCAGACACTTAAAGTTAATTGTGCAAGTTACAGCAGCAGCGTCTCTGAATGCAAAGGGTAGGCGTGTGGAATTCATAAGCAATCCCAGACTGCACGTATTTAATGTTTGGTGCTCCCGTTAGAAGGAGCCATAAAGTCTGAGAGGTAGAGATTTATTTTATTTATTTGGAAATGTCTGCACTGCCCTTCAGTATAAATATGCAGAGAAATAAAAAGGAGCAGCCTCTTCGGTGAAGGGCGCCCATTGTACACAAGCTGGGTTCAGCAATCGCATTTATCACTGCCTGTTGTTGTTGTTGTGGCTTTTAAAAAAAGAATGGTTACGAAGCAGAACTCCCTTGTAGCAGGGATGGGGAGCTGTTTCCAGCCTGAGGGCTGTCTTTCCTTCTGGGCAATCTTCCAAGGGCCACATGCCAGTGTTTGGAGGGCCAGAGGCAAAGGCAGGTGGAACAATGAATATTTTTATAGCTTTGTACAACAGGCTGGTTCCTACACATACTCACGCCCCTCTCTCTGCCCTCCATCCAAACAAGGAAGAGACATGATCAGAGTTCAAGGACAAATCCTAGCCAGGCAAAAACCCTTGAGGAAGGTGAGAAGGAAGGCTAATGAGAGGTTTTGCTTGGGGATAACACAAGTGGCTGGGGTGGAGGCAATAATAATAATAATAATAATAATAATAATAATAATAATAATTTATTATTTGTACCCCGCCCATCTGGCTGGGTTTCCCCAGCCACTCTGGGCGGCTTCCAACAAGGATTAAAAATACATCAAAATGTCACACATTAAAAATTTCCCTGAACAGGGCTGCCTTCAGATGTCTTGTAAATGTCAGGTAGTTGTTTATCTCTTTGCCACCTGATGGGAGGGCGTTCCACAGGGCGGGTGCCACCACCGAGAAGGCCCTCTGCCTGGTTCCCTGTAGCAAGGCCAGGGAGAGAGATCTAAGGGCCTGCATTTGTTCCCTTGGCCTGAGGCTCCTCACCTCTGCATTGAAGAGATGGCCCATTTGGTGGCCCACCCAGCTCGAGTGATTGGTCCCTTCATCCATCCCTCTGAGATACCTTTGATCTAAGGTTAAACACTCACATTTTTGCTAGCAGAAAACAACAATAGTTAGTTACCAACTCAGTTAGAGCTCAGTCTTTTCTTTAGCTTCAATATAAAAAAAAGGTAAAGGACCTCTGACAGTTAAGTCCAGTCGCGGACGACTCTGGGGTTGCGGCGCTCATCTCGCTTTACAGGCCGAGGGAGCTGGCATTTGTCCGCAGACAATTTTTTCTGGGTCATTTGGACAGCATGACTAGGCCGCTTATGGCGAGACCAGAGCAGCGCACAGAAACGCCGTTTACCTTCCTGCCGGAGTGGTACCTATTTATCTACTTGCACTTTGACGTGCTTTCAAACTGCTAGGTTGGCAGGAGCAGGGACTGAGCAATGGGAGCTCACCCCATCGCAGGGATTCGATATAAAAAAGGTAAAGGGACCCCTGACCATTAGGTCCAGTCGTGACCGACTCTGGAGTTGCAGCGCTCATCTCGCTTTACTGGCCGAGGGAGCCGGCGTACAGCTTCCGGGTCATGTGGCCGGCATGACTAAGCCGCTTCTGGCGAAACCAGAGCAGCGCACGGAAACACCGTTTACCTTCCCGCCGGAGCGGTACCTATTTATCTACTTGCACTTTGATGTGTTTTCGAACTGCTAGGTGGGCAGGAGCAGGGACTGAGCAACGGGAGCTCAGCCCATTGCAGGGATTCGATATAGCCCCGTGGAAAATCCCCACATTCAAGCCTTCGTTAATGTACATTTGGGAATTCCCCATTTCAGTGTCAATTAAACAATTGTACTTAACAAGTCCATCGCCTTTGGCTTGGGCTGGGCACACCTGACTTGACTGTGTTGCAGGTGGTGGATGGTGTGGGCGCGATGGCAGCACTCACCTGACCTCCAGTCAGTTGCATCATTGCTGCTTACTGGGAGGTTAGAGGGGGAGAGGAGTCAGGAGATTGGTGCAGTGTCGACGCGCCAGAGGGAGTGCAGGATCGGCTCCACTGGTGCATTTGCTCCACTGCGACCTCGCATGCCCCCTCAGCAGCGACGCAACTGATGGGAGGTGGGGTGAGTAACACCACCACACCTTCTTGGAATAATAGGTCCAGAATTGCCCAAGAAAGATGTTAGATTGTTTTTGTACGCCACATCTGCTGCTAAGATTTTGTTAGCCAAGAACTGGAAATTACAAGAAGTGCCAACAGTGGAGGAATGGCAGATGAAGATAATGGATTTTTGGGAGCTAGCCAACCTGACCGGAAGAGTCTGTGACCAGAAGGAGAAGGAGTACCAGGAGGAATGGATGAAATTCAAAGACTATTTAGCTAAATATGCTAAGATAATTTAAATGGAAATACTTGCAATTACCAGATTGGCTTAGGATTTAAATATGCAATGTTATAGAACAATATGTTTAAAGTTAATATGAAAAGAAAGAAAGATGTTACTTGACTAAGTAAATGATATGAGAAATTAGTTTTGGAAAACTGTTACAATGATATACACTGAAATTCACGGCCTAGGACCCTCGTACCTACGGGAGCGCCTCTCCCGGTGTGCCCCACGGAGGACCTTAAGGTCCATAAATAGCAACACCCTAGAGGTCCCGGGCCCTAAGGAAGTCATATTAGCCTCAACCGGAGGCAGGGCCTTTTCAACACTGGCCCTGGCCTGGTGGATCGCTCTGTCTCATGAGACCAGGGCCCTGCAGGATCTGATTTCTTTCCACAGGGCCTGTAAGACAGAGTTGTTCCGCCTGGCCTTTGGCTTGGAGCCAATTTGATTCCCTCCCCCTCTTTCTTTTTTCCTTTCTCCTCCTGTGATGAGGCTGCATTTTAATATTTTAATGTTTCAATATTTTAATGTTGTCTTTTAATCTTGTTTTTAAGTTGTATTCATTCAACTTGTTTTTATTATTGCTTGTTAGCCGCCCTGAGCCCGGCCTTGGCTGGGGAGGGCGGGGTATAAATATTATTATTATTATTATTATTATTATTATTATTATTATTATTATTATACACTGAAATTCAGCCAGGGGGATTTGAGGAAGTCATTCGATAATGTTAACAAAAGTGGAATTATTACAGTTAGGATCTATGTTTGTTTGTTTGTTCATAAATTTGGAAAATCAATACAAAAAATGGAAAAAAAACAAACAAACACCACCACACCTCTCTGTGTGTTCCATGTCTTGCACACGTGGTCCCTGGGAACTCAGCATGGGTGTCAGCGGGTCTGGCATCCGACCCCTCCTCACGTGTGTCTCAACGGGCTTCTGTGTGCTCTGAAATGAATAAATCCTGAGAGGTGCTGGCTGCCTGCAGGTGTCGCCGAAGCAAATAGGACCTGACACTGTGCCCAGCAACTGGAGCAGACCCTGAACAGCATTAAGCATGCATGCAGCACCCTTCTCTAAGCCTTACGCGACTCCAGATCAAAGTACAGATTAATTAATCACTTAACGATCCCTTGCAAGTCTTTTCACGGCCTCCTTCCAGATGCTGTGCGCATTGCTGGTGATAGAAGCACTGCTAATCCAGATCTCTTTTTTAAAAAACACTGAACTGAAATAAACTCTGCCGTCCTGACGAATTTTCAGCCGAGTGCTCTTTTCTGCGAAGCCTCAGAAACTTCCGCCTGTTACATCCATCTGAGACCTGCACCGGTGGCTGAATTGCTACTGGGCCAGGTTTAAGGTGGGGCTATTAGCATGCAAAGCGCTTAACAACTTGGGACCAGTTTGCCTACAAGAACGCCTGACCCCACATGCATCCACTCGACTGCTGCAATTGGGGGAACTCGCACTGTTACAAGTGCCACATAAAACCCATTTCTCATTGGTAAGAACTCAGTCTTTTACTGTGGCAGCACCTGCCCTTTGGAACTCCCCACCACTTGATAGCAGGCAGGCACTCTTTTTGGCACCTGCTAAAAACATTCTTGTTTAGACAAGCCTACCCAGATGGTTAAATAGTTGGTGCAAGTTGTTATTGTTATTTACATATACCCTGCCCATCTGATTGGGTTGCCCCAGCCAAAGTTTAATCTATTTTTAGTCTATTACCTTAACTTTTCAAAAGTTTTAAATTATCATTGTTAAAGTTTAAAATTTTCTTATTGATGATTTTGTTGCTCTATCTTTTTTTGTCAACTGCTTTGAGGCTGTGTTTGTGGGTTGGTGGTTTGTTTGTTTTTTACAACTGAGAGATGTATAATTTTTGTGAAATAAATAAACATCATATATTTTATTTTATTTTTTGAGTTGGGTGGTTTGAGACAGCCACACACCTCTTGTTCCATGAAGGATGTCTGCATAGCTTTTGCCTTTCTAAACTTTCTAAATCCAGTCATTCCGGCGTTTCTTCCACAATAAACATAATAAGCATTTAGACAATTAGAATAAAATTATTCTCAACCCGGCTCTCTCAACCCGGCTCCCTCCAGATGTTTTAGACCTCAACTCTCATCAGTCCTGGCCAGCCCAGATCCCACTGCACCTTTGGAGGGGTTTCTGGGGCCACAGAGATATCCTGGGATCTGGATCACGACACTGCATGCCCATTTCTGTTTTGCTGATTAAATCCTTACAGCAATTGCAAACAGTCCTCCATACGATGTGCTACCGCAACTTGGTTATGCAACGGACCCTGGACCCTGCTATTTTTACATTAACTCCAAGAGCTAGCAGGACCCCCTGTAGGACATGCCCACACTTTGTTGCCTGGTAACCAAAGAGATGTAATTAGAACAGAGTTATTTTTTTAAAAAAGAGAGAAACCCTACCACGTGGGTTCTAGTGGCGGTTCCTGAGAGGGTGGTTAAAAGGTGGCTGTGTTCACTGCTGCAAAGATTTGTGACCCACTTTGCATTGCCCAAAAGAAACTCAGTTCAGCAGCTGCAGTGTCGTGGGCCGAGGGAATAAGTGACCTGTGCGGAGTTTTGTTTTGCTGAGTTAGAGCATCGAACCACCTAGCCCTGAGCAGTGTCTCCTTGGAGGGAGAGCTGAGCTTTCCCCCATCCCTGCTAACTGGGACACCGGCTGGAGATACCGGGGTTTGAATCCACCCTGGACGCAGCGCATGACAAGCACATGGCTCCACCTCAACCACTGGCTCTGCCCCATGTGTCGGGGGGTGATGCGAGTGATGGGAATTGTGTTCAGGTCACATTTAAAGGCGTTCCTGCTTAATTTGCCTTTCTGAAATAGCATGAGAGTCGAAACGTGGCCACCTTTCAAAAATTCACACTTCCCCAAATTTTGCAGTGCAGTTCTCCAGTCAAGTCATGTGTATAAAAAATGCATATGGCATAAATAGGCATGCCTTTGTGAAGACAACATACAACATGCATGAACCTAGCTGGACCCTGAGATCATCCTCTGAGGCCCTTCTTTGTGTGCCTCCTCCACATGAGGTCCAGAGGGTGGCAACACGAGAACAGGGCCTTTTCTGTGGTGGCTCCCCATTTGTGCAATGCTCTCCCAGGGAGGCTCATCTGGTGCCTTCATTATACATCTTTAGTTGCCAAGCAAGAATATTCCTCTTCTCCCAAGTCTTTGGCTAATTAAACTATCTATGACCTTTTAAACTGTGGGGGTACTGTTTTTGTTTGTTACGAAAATCCTCGTTATTGCATATTTTTACATGGCTGTTTATTCGTATATATATATTTTAAAAATGTATATGGATGTTTTATGATGGCCTATATTTCTAATTGGGACGTGGGTGGCGCTGTGGTCTAAACCCCTGAGCCTCTTGGGCTTGCTGATCAGAAGGTCAGCGGTTCAAATCGCTGCCACAGGGTGAGCTCCCGTTGCTCTGTCCCAGCTCCTGCCAACTTAGCAGTTCGAAAGCACATCAGTGCAGGTAGATAAATAGGTTCCGCTGTGGCGGGAAGGTAAACAGTGTTTCCATGCGCTCTGGTTTCCGTCACGGTATCCTGTTGCACCAGAAGCTGTTTAGTCATGCTGACCACATGACCCTGAAAGCTGTCTGTGGACAAACGCCGGCTCCCTCGGCCTGAAAATTGAGATGAGCACCACAACGCCATAGTCACCTTTGACTGGACTTAACCGTCCAGGGGTCCTTTACCTTTTTACCTAACCTTATACAGTGGTACCTCGGGTTACATATGCTTCAGGTGACATACGCTTCAGGTTACAGACTCAGCTAACCCAGAAATAGTGCTTCAGGTTAAGAACTTTGCTTCAGGATGAGAACAGAAATCGTGCTCTGGCGGCGCGGCGGCAGCAGGCAGCCCCATTAGCTAAAGTGGTGCTTCAGGTTAAGAACAGTTTCAGGTTAAGTACGGACCTCCGGAACGAATTAAGTACTTAACCCGAGGTACCACTGCATTTCTAATGCCTAATAAAGGTTTGACTAAGCCAAATCCAACCTACCAACCTTTCCTTGGTGTTTTCCAGGTACCTAGGAATAACCCGGCCGCTGACATATCCCGTGAGGCAAGACGGGAAGCTGATGGCCAAGATGGTGTTCATCGTTTGGCTCCTCTCGGCCTCCATCACTCTGCCCCCTTTGTTTGGCTGGGCGAAGAACATCACGGTGGAACGGGTGTGCCTCATCAGCCAGGACTTTGGCTACACCGTCTACTCCACCGGGGTCGCCTTCTACATACCCATGGCCGTCATGCTCGTCATGTACAACAGGATCTACAAGGCAGCCAAGGCCAGCGCTCAGAAACACCGCTTCATGGACTTCCCCAGGCCTTACGAGCCAGACGGAGCCTACTGCATCGAGCCTGGCGTCCGGCGCCAGCATAGCACCAAGAGGAGCAAGGCCGTGGAGCAATGCGCCTCCTTGTCCAAACTCCTCCGCCAAGACCGGAAGAATATCTCCATCTTCAAGAGGGAGCAGAAAGCAGCCAGGACCCTGGGCATCATCGTGGGGGCCTTCACCTTTTGCTGGCTCCCCTTCTTCCTGATGTCAACGGCCCGGCCGTTCATCTGCGGCAGCCGCTGCAGCTGCATCCCTTTGAGGCTGGAGAGGACTCTCCTCTGGCTGGGATATGCCAACTCCCTCATCAACCCCTTGATCTACGCCCTTTTCAACCGGGACCTGAGGACTACTTTCTGGAACCTCCTGCGCTGCAGCTACCGCAACATCAACCGCAGGCTGTCCGCCGCAAGCATGCACGAGGCCTTGAAAGCCACAGAGAAACACGAGGGCATCATCTAAGGCTGCGGGCCCATGTGGACGTTGGCGTTTAAAAGCGTGGCGGTCGCTCACTGAGGGAGGCAGACCCTCCCTGCGGCTGCCCGCTCACACCAAGGATTGGGGGCTCACCTGGATGGGCACCACCAAAGCAGGGCAACGATTACCCGGTTCCCCTGCAGCTTTGCAAATAAGTCTATGGAAGATGCTAGTTCACAAAAGGACCCAAATAAATCTGTGCATCTATGGCAGCCGTTTGCGGTATAAAGGGGAAACAATATTTTGCCACTTTCAAGGATTTTCCTAGGTGTGGAAATTGGGGAGAGGGGATTATAAGATCCTAGTAAACTCCTTGTAAGGGAGAGGAAATTAGCTGGCAAGCCAAGCGAGAATTGTATATCCGAGAGGCCGTAGCAAAGTTGCTCAACAGAAGCATTTCCCTGACCTGACACCCTCCAGATAATTTGGACTTCAGCTCCCATCACCCCTGACCTTTGGCCATTCCGGCTGGAGCTGATGGGAGTTGGAGTCTCACGACATCTGGAAGTCACCAGGATGAAGAAGGCATGACATCTGCTGTGGAGCTCTTATGTAATAATAATACTTAACATTTATACAGTTTTTCACGAGTGCCCAGGGCATTTCGCATTCATTTGCCTCGATTATCCTTACCGTACGACGCGTAAGGATAGTCATAGCCACTAGGGACTGAGAGAGTGGAAGCGGTTTATGTTAACAGACCATAGATGAGGCAAGATCTCTATGTAGGGCTCTTCGTTTTCATGGGTGCACACACTGACCAAGTGAGGACTTCGATTTTGAGTATGGAACCCAGCATGCTGAGATGCTCTTTCCCTATCTGAAATAAAAACAAATAGACAAGTTTCTAGTCCTTTGGCTAGAAAGAGAAGGCAAAAAGGGAAAAGGAGCAAAAATTTCCAAGGGACCTGACATTAGCACCTTGTGCCTCACTATGGAGGAGAGAAGTGGAGCCAGGCAGTGTGTCCATCTTGGCCAGCAATGTCTGCTCTGACTGAATCATAGAATCATAGAGTTGGACTAGACCACAAGGGCCATCGAGTCCAACCCCCTGCCAAGCAGGAAACGCCATTAGAGCACTCCTGACATATGGTTGTCAAGCCTCTGCTTAAAGACCTCCAAAGAAGGAGACTCCACCACACTCCTTGGCAGCAAATTCCACTGTCGAACAGCTCTTGCTGTCAGGAAGTTCTTCCTAATGTTGAGGTGGAATCTTCTTTCTTGTAGTTTGGATCCATTGCTCCGTGTCCGCTTCTCTGGAGCAGCAGAAAACAACCTTTCTCCCTCCTCTATATGACATCCTTTTATATATTTGAACATGGCTATCATATCACCCCTTAACCTCCTCTTCTCCAGGCTAAACATGCCCAGCTCCCTTAGCCGTTCCTCATAAGGCATCGTTTCCAGGCCTTTGACCATTTTGGTTGCCCTCCTCTGAACACGTTCCAGTTTGTCAGTGTCCTTCTTGAACTGTAGTGCCCAGAACTGGACACAGTACTCCAGGTGAGGTCTGACCAGAGCAGAATACAGTGGCACTATTACTTCCCTCGATCTAGATGCTATACTCCTATTGATGCAGCCCAGAATTGGCAGCATGTCCCCAGGGTCTGAGGCAGCAAAAGGTCTTCCCCGGCCCCTGTTCTCTGATTCTTCTACCTGGAGATGCAAGGAATTGAACCAGGGCCTTCTACAAGCATAGCATTTGCTCAACCACTAAGCATTGGTTCAGTCCAGAAGGAGTTAAGCCAAATGAGTCAATACATTCTCATACATTCCTGACAAGACAGAAGTACTGTTTTTGGGGGACAGGGGGCGGGCGGGTGTGGAGGACTCCCTGGTCCTGAATGGGGTAACTGTGCCCCCTAAGGACCAGGTGCGCAGCCTGGGAGTCATTTTGGACTCACAGCTGTCCATGGAGGCGCAGGTCCATTCTGTATTCAGGGCAGCTGTCTACCAGCTCCACCTGGTACGCAGGATGAGACCCTCCTTGCCGTAGACTGTCTTGCCAGAGTGGTACATGCTCTAGTTATCTCCCACTTGGACTACTGCAATGCGCTCTACGTAGGGCTACCTTTCAAGGTGACCCAGAAACTTCAACTAATCCAGAATGTGGATTAGAATGTGGATAGAACTAATCTAGACTGGTGACTGGGGGCGGCCGCCAAGACCACATAACACCGGTCTTGAAAGACCTACATTGGCTCCCAGTACATTTCCGAGCACAATTCAAAGTGTTGGTGTTGACCTTTAAAGCCCTAAACGGCCTCAGCCCAGCATACCTGAAGGAGCGTCTCCACCCCCATTGTTCTGCCCAGACACTGAGGTCCAGCGCTGAGGGCCTTCTGGCAGTTCCCTCATTGCAAGAAGCAAAGCTACAGGGAATCAGGCAGAGGGCCTTCTTGGTGGTGGCACCCACCCTGTGGAATGCCCTCTCATCAGATGTCAAAGAGATAAACAACTACCTGACATTCAGAAGACATCTGAAGGCAGCCCTGTTCTGGGAAGTTTTTTATGTGTGACATTTTAGTGTATTTTTGGTCTTTGTAGAAGCCGCCCAGTGGCTGGGGAAACCCAGCCAGATGGGCAGGGTACAAAAAATTATTATTATTATTATTATTAATAATAATAATAATAATATGCACCCATGTAGACAGGTCGCAGAACGCAGTTTTACTCTGCCTTCCTTGACGATTCCCTGGCCTCCCCACAAAGAGCCATATCCTGCGTTGATGCTGGATAGCTCAGTCGGTATAGCAAGGGACTCTTAATCCCAGAGTTGTGGGTTTGAGCTCCATGTTGGGCGAAAGATTCCTGCATTGCAGGGGGTTGGAGTTGGCCCCTTCCAACTCTACAATTCTATAATTCTGTTATCAGATATGCATATTTTCATTCCTTAGTTGGTGGCCTGGAGTTTATCAGGCTCAACAAGCCTCTTCCATCTGCCAACTAAGCTTGCTGTCCAACGCCTCCCTATCTCCCCACATTTATTGCATTTTGCATCAGCTGCTGGCTCTGTTTCGCCAGTCTCTGCTGCCGTCTGGTAACCATGCATGTCCATGCATCCAAAGCAATGTACAGAAAACAGAAACAACATTATACCCATCAGGCAGAAACATGGTTTGGCTACATGCAGTGGCTTTTAGAAAGAACAACAATGTGCTAACTTTATCACAAAGAGGCGTACCACATTGGACTGGGGGACTGGCTATCGGACTGGAGGATGTGGATGGCGTTGTGGTCTAAACCACTGAGCCTCTTGGGCTTGCTGATCAGAAGGTTGGGGGTTTGAATCCCCGCCACGGGGTGAGCTTCCGTTGCTCTGTCCCAGGTCCTGCCAACTTAGCAGTTTGAAAGCACGCCAGCGCAAGTAGATAAATAGGTACTGCTGCGTTGGGAAGGTAAACAGTGTTTCCGTGGGCTCTGGTTTCCATCACGGTATCCTATTGTGCCAGAAGCGGTTTAGTCCTGCTGGCCACATGACCCAGAAAGCTGTCTGTGGACAAACGCCGGTTCCCTCGGCCTGAAAGCGAGATGAGAGCCGCAACCCCATAGTCGACTTGGACTGGACTTAACCACCCAGGGGTCCTTTACCTTTACCTTACTGGCTATCCATTCTGAGTTGCAACTGCAAGAGAATGGTGATGGAGCTTCGATAGCAGGTTAGAAAGTTTTGCCACTCTGCCACTCTGGTAATGTAAGCAAGTAAATCGGCAGAAAGGAAATCCTCAGTGTTTTCCAGACCAAAGGCTCCTAAGTCTCAGAGATGAGAGTGATTTCAATGGCAGGGTCTAAATTGAAAACTTCAAGACACTCACTAGCTTCTAATTTCTTCAAATTTCAGCCAGCTTTGGAAACGAGAGGTCAGGAACACACTGGGTTAATTCAAGGGCGGAACGCAGCACCTTGAGAATCAATGGGAATGAAAAGGGCACTTTTGTGTGGAGGCAACTTGTTTAAAATAGCAGCACCCTACAAAAATCTTTGCCAACTTGGCCAACGTGCAGGTGGGGGTTGTCCTCCGAAACATCTGTAGGGCACCAAGTTGACAAGCGCTGCCCTACTCCGAACACACTCTAGAAAAACTGTGTGCATTGTGCATTTGTGTGTGCCTGGCGCAACCCTAGAGATGACACAACCATGTGGAGAACTTTCTGCAGGAACTACACAACGACAATCATCAGCATAATCTTTGTCCCTCTGGTCCAATATGGCAGACAGGGTAAAATCGCTTGGCCTAGCTATCCCAAGTAGTAGAGATGAGAAGGCCTGGGGGGGGGACTGGGGAAATGGGGGGGGGACTAATTTCCCTCCATTTTTTCCCGTTTTCCCCCAAAGCCATTTTTTCCCAGAAAAATTGAAAAAAAAAATTGATATAGTTTGAATATTCCACACACTTTTTTCTCCATTTTTTTCTGGGGAAAAACCGACTTTGGGGGGGAAATGGGGGGAACCTGTCCCCCCCCATTTTTCCAGTTTCCCCCCAGAACTTCCCATCTCTACCAGGGAGCCTTTTTCCGTCTGAAGGCTATGTTCCCTTCTCACTCCCAGAAACAAAAGCCGGCTTAACGACGAGTGTGAATTTTACATTTGTATGATAAGTTAGTTTATACACACACATAGCCTGCAAGTCTCCCAGCAAAACCGGGACATCCTCCCCCCTTTTTTTTATTGCTCGAGAACGGCTTGATTTTTTGAAAATAAATCTGATCTGAGAGAACACTGACAGATTCCAACCAGACTGAATTGATATCGAGAGGGTTTGTTTAAAAACACAGTGGCAATTTTTTCTGCCGGGGCTGATGGGAATCTCAAGGGCACCTCTTTGGGAAAGGCTTTTTCTACCAGGAACCAGGAAAACAGGCCAGTTGTTCCAAGGGCTGAGGGTGAAATCTGCGGTAATTCAAGAGTCCAAATTAAATAAAGGTGTTACTGACTTACCAGTTGAGCACCCTAGTTATTTGAATTTTGTGCACGCCCCATGGTACGTTTAGGTTGAAACCAGGTTGGGTTCGACTAGATGAGCCTTGTGGTCCCTTCCAATTCCACAATTCTGTGATCCCAATGTACAGTGGTACCTCGGGTTACAGACGCTTCAGGTTACAGACTCCGCTAACCCAGAAATAGTACCTCGAGTTAAGAACTTTGCTTCAGGATGAGAACAGAAATCGTGCTCTGGGGGCAGCGGGAGGCCCCATTTGCTAAAGTGGTACCTCAGGTTAAGGACAGTTTCAGGTTAAGAACGGACCTCCAGAACGAATTAAGTTCTTAACTCGAGGTACCACTGTAGATTGTTTTCCTGTCAAGGGCCACCTTATCTTACTCAGTCATGACTGTAGTGGCAGGGCTGTCTTGCATACAGCACTGGCGGTTTGAGGGGTGCTCTGTGAAGCCCATGAGGAATCCCCTCCAGCACCCACAACATCACCTGCTGGAGGGGATTATTTATGCCCAGGCACCTTCTATTTCCCTTTCTCCGGTTGATGCAGATGGCAGATTGACTTTTCCTTCAGTCCTTTGCCAAAGCTTTGCATCTTCCTTCCCAGGGCTGCTACATCCTCACCTGCCACCTTCTTAAGTACGGTATAAAGAGTAACAGCAAGGAGAAGAGAGGAGAAGAAAGGAGAAGAAAGGAGAGGAGAGGAGAGGAGAGAGAGAGAGAGAGAGAGAGAGAAGGGGCTTCTTGCCCATAGAGGCAAGTGGTGCAGAGCACCAGGGCGCCATGTTCTGGAGGGCACCAGGGAAGAGGCAGAGGCTGGACGTGGCGCCTCCTAGCATCAGCTCGCTGCCCTCGCCCGCCTCTGCCATGCCGCGCCGAAGCAGCACCTCGCCCAGAGCCTCCGCCTGCCATAGCCACCGTGGCACGGGTGCCAGGGAAGAGGCAGAGGTTGGGTGTGGCACCTCCCGGCATCAGCTCACCGCCCTCGCCCACCTCGCTGAAGCAGCACCGCGCCCAGAGCCTCCGCCTCTTCCCTGCAAGAGGAGCCGCCCTCCAACCGCTGCCCGCCTCCTCCAGCCCTGTAAAGCTGCCAGCAACACCGTAAAAAGGTTGGCAACTCTGGGAAACAGGGTGTC